GGAGGAATTTAGTGATATTTTGATGGGGGCAGCCCATGGGAAAGGCAATCGGGGTTCAGCTTGAGATCCCAGTAGCGAAATATAGGCCAGTTAGGATGCCATACAGGAGTATCCCTCCGAACCAGGTACCAGAGGTTAAGCAGCACATTAACCAGTTGTTAAAGCAGGGAGTAATCCAGGATAGTTAGAGTCCCAACTCAGCCGCCATTGTAGTAGTGTGTAAAAGGGATGGGACACTGAGGTCATGTATTGATTACCGTAGCCTTAATAAGATTTCGGTACGTGATACATTTCTTCTGGGGTGCTGGTGGTAGAGTGGTACCGCTCTTGCCTTCGCAAAGCGAGATGTCACGGGTTCGATCCCGGCCCGGTGGAAGTTGTTTGGACATACTTCCTAGCCCCCATTAGTCCCTGTTCACCTAGCAGTAAAGTAGGTACCTGGTGTAAATCGAAAGTTGCGAATTCGTATTCAGGGACAAGTTGTTGGAGCTTCCAATAACTTGATGACATAAAACCATTGACTCTTCAGGCTTCTATGCCCTTGACTCTTCAGGCTTCTACGCCCTTAACTCATGAGACATAAAGGCAAGCATGAACTTAGCATGCTTCCCTGTTGGGCACTGTAAACGCTTCTGCGCTTCACCTTACACAAGGATGTAGGGGAGTGCCCAATAAATAATAAAAAAAAAAAATTAGTCTCTGACAGGGGCCTGGTTCTTCTCCACTTTCGATCTAGCAGCTGGGTATCATCAAATAGAGGTTCACCCTAAAGAACGTCCAAAGACCGTCTTCGAAACAAGCTGTAGACATTTTGAGTACAGGAGATTGCCAATGAGGCTGTCAAATAGTCCAGGGACCTTTCAGAGATATATGGAGCGGATCCGACAGGATGATATTCTCATCGTACACGTGTACCTCGACGACGTGATGAGGTTTTCGAGTACTATAGTATTCTAGGCTTTTATCATAGATTCTTGATTGGGCAATGGAACTAGAATATGTAAGAGTTTATTGGATTTTCTGTAGCGAAACCCAATACGTTCCTTTTCTTAATTTATTATAAAAAGTTTTTATTTACACTTTTAAAAAGGATATCACCATAACTATCTCAAATGAGCTATGGATGTTAGAAACGTAGATGGCAAGCTTGTCAATGAAGATTGGTTATCAAACGTCTGTTTCTCGTGGGGTTCGAGTGAAGACTAAGAGATCACTGGGGGCAAATAGCCGGCTTCTTATAGCTGACCTAAGGTCTAATAGAGACGCGCCCTCCGGTGGAAAGTTACCGATCACGTGTTCAATGAATGGACTACATGATCACTGCATGACATCTGAGCGATTGCCTCATATGAGATTGTGTTAAACAGATCTCTTGTGTGCGGTAGCTTGCAGGGTGAAATTTGACACAACTAACATAGGTATTTGTTCCATGTATATCCCTCACAGACCCTTATATGTGGAGGAGCTTGATTCCCTAGTGAGGCAATTGCCCTGCAAAAGCATCATTATGTGGGATTATAAATGGTCACCACCACACCTGGGAAGATGAAAGTAGAGATAGAAGAGGGAATTAAATAGCGAACTATTTCATAAATTCCAGCCTATCACTCGACTAGACGATAGATACGGCACCCTATCGGCTATAGATTTATCTTTAGCCGATGGGAGTTTATGCCCTGTCACAAGATGGGAAGTTTACGATGACTCCCTTGGGTAGCAACCATTTCCCGATTTATATTTCTTATGAAATCGGCTTGACGGACGCCGTTCCGATGGGTCGATATAATTTGAAGAAGGTAGATTGGAGGTCACTCACGAGTGAAGCCGTAGTGAACCGTCCCGACGCACACATAAATACTAAAAGCAAACAAATTTAAGATACAATCATCAATGCGGAAAAAAAATTATTCCGAAGATTTCTACAACTCATGGCAAACCTGGAGTTCCACCGAGGAATGCAGATTGCCAACAAGCGATATGAGAACGCAATGGAAGGTTCAGAATATTCAACCGAGAGCCCAACCAGAATAATCACATAGAGTTTAAGAAGGAGAGGGCTCGAGCACAAAGAATCATTAAGGAAAGCAAACGCAGGTCCTGGCAAGAAATCTTCTCCACTGTGGTCGGTTATTAACCGTGTCAGGGGACGGAGGAGTGGTGCTCCTATCCCTCAGTTTGGGGGTGAGGGGATGGATTCTGGATAATCCCCTGGACATTGCCATCTATCTAGCCCACCAATTTGGGCGAGTTAGTAGCTCCACGAAATATAATCCTCAGTTCGCTCTTGAGAAGGAGAGGGCTGAGAGGATGCCCATTGCCCCTGTCCTTTAACGGTGAGAGGAGCAGGACTATAAAAGTGAGTTTTCCGATGACGAACTCGATCGTGTTTTGAAATTATGCACTGAAACCAGGCCTGGACCGGGTGGGATTACATACGAAATGCTAACAGCACCACAGCAGGACAGAACCTGCTCAGGATGCTGGGGGCTACAATGACATATAGACGTCGAGGTCGTTCCCAGTCTCTTGGAAATATGCGCATGTCGTACCTATTCCAAAAAAAAAGGAGTGGGGCCTTATGAACCCAAGTTCGTTCCAACCAATAGCGCTCACGAATTGTCTATGTAAAGTCATAGAGAGAATGATAAAATGTAAGCTAATATCCTACTTAGAAAACAACAACTTACTAAACGATCAACAATGTGGCTTCCGCCATAACAATAGTACACTAGATCATCTACTCAGGTTGGAATTAGATATTCAGAAGGCTCTTAAAGCTAAAAAAAATAAAATAATTACGGTATTCCTAAATATAGAAAAAGCCTATGATATGACTTGGCGAACCGGGATTCTCATGAAACTTTTCGCTTTAGGTTTAAGGGGGCATCTACCACAATTTATTCAAATTTTCTTAAAGACACGAAATTTGCTGTTAAACTTTCGAAAAATAACATAGTCAGATATAGATATATATATAGATATATATATAGATATATATATATATATATATATATATATATATATATATATATATATATATATATATATATATATATATATATATATATATATATATATATATATATATATATATATATATATATATATATCCTCGAAAATGGGATACCCCAGGGAAGCGTTCTTGGTCCTGTGTTATTTTTAATTATAGTGAATGACTTTCTATCAACAGTCCTTGTGCCACGGGGTATTAAGATTTCCCTCTATGCCGATGATTGTGCTTTGTGGTGTTCCAGTCACAATGCACAACAGTCAGCTGAGGGGGTGCAAGAAGCTCATGCTGCCGCTCAGCAGAGGGCGACATGGTGGTGGTTTTAGGTTCTCGATGGCCAGCACTTCAATTATACAATACTCCTGTTGTCTTTCAAAATTCGGTAAAATTTTTAGGCATAATTTTGCCAAAATCATCACTTTGAGAGAAAATTTTAATAAGGTAAAAAATAAAACCTCCAATTCAGCTAACATTCTGAAATACCTATCGGGAAAAACAGAGGGAGATGATAGGAAGTATTTAGTGACGTTGTTTAAGTCCCTATTTAGATCAAAAGTGGATTATGGAGCACAGTTGTATGCATCTGCAAAAAATGCTTTGCTCTCTAAACTGACAGTCATTCAGAACAAATACCTACATATCAGTATTGGAGCAATCAGGTGCAAGAAGATCTCGAGATTAGAGATAGAGGCAAACATCCCCCCATTACAGCAGAGGAGGGAATACCTAACTCAGGATAGGTGATCCTGTGGTCACTTCCCAGAGTGAACTGCACTCTCATCGAACTGGAGCTGACGAGGAAGACTTTGAGGAGGTGACGCAACAGCCAGGATATGGAGAAGGGAAACCCCGGAGTGGTAACTAAGAGTAGTCATACTCGGGTTTCGTCCCTAGATGGCGTTGCTCGTGGTGCTGGGTAGGTAGATCAGGACAATAGATGGCGTGGTTCGTAGCGCTGGGTAGGTAGATCATGACAATTGATGGCGTGGTTCGTAACAATATATATATATATATATATATATATATATATATATATATATATATATATATATATATATATATATATATATATATATATATATATATAACAAAGTAGTATGTGTATTTGTGTGTGTCTGTGTCCGCACGAGAATCTCGGAAACTACTTTAAGGATCTGTAGTGATGATGGATGGTGTTATATGTAGTGATGATGGGTGGTGTT